AGTAGAAAGAAAATGTTTTGAAAATGATGATGGCAACAAATGTGCTTGACACAATGGATGGATGTATGGATTGTGATAAGAGTTGTACGATCCCCCAATAAAATGATTTTAAAAAAAACCACTAGGAAAAATAAAAACTTCCAATGCCATCAGATTTTAAATGTATAGAGCATTGTTAGAGATCAAGGGTGTTCACCTGATTTCAAATTTCTCCCATTATTATACCCCTCAAACATAAACCTGGCAAGAAGAGCCCAAACTGTACATGGCTCATGACCATGTGACAGAGGACAACATGGCCATCGAATTACATGTGAGTGAAGTAAGAAGGAAAAGTTCCTGCAGCTCCCATGTCCTAGCAAACCTGGGGAGCAGAGAGTGGTGGAGGTAAGACTTAGAAGACTATATGAAAGGGCAGAAAGAAAGGGAGGAATTAAATGATAAAGAAAGGAAATTACCTCTAAAAAGAGAAAGTGTGCCAAGTGTGCCAGAATACTGTATACAGGTCAGGAGTCAGTGGTCCCCTGCGCTGACTCTACTCGAACCGAAGTGACAGGTTTGAGAAACACTGCTCCTGGGAAGAACTAGATGTTTATAGAGAGGGAGGGCATCCCTGGCAGGCTCGGCAGTGAAGGACATGTAGGGATCCTACAGAAATGAAAGAGAAACAAGACCCTCTGATCTTCTCTGCCAACACCCCCCTCTGTACCTTCTGCCACCAACACCAGTGCTTATCAGAGAAGTGCATGGAAGAGGGTGCTCTTGAACTAAGAGCTCCTGCTGTGAAGTCAAAAAGAATAGAAAAAAAGTGAGCCCATCCTTATAAAACCACTGTAAAAAACAGACAGTGTCAGCTAACGCTTCCCTGCTTATGAACACTCGCCCAAAGATTCAGCCACGAAGCTAAAGAAGACTCTAACCCAGCATTCCAACCTCAGTTAAATATCTGCAAACAAGCATTAGAGGCTGTGCAAAAGCCGAGGTCAGCGAGGACAAACTGACGATGGAAGCGACCAAAACAAGGAGGCACTGGAACAAGTTGATGTCATTTAGGAAAGAAAGAGAAGGAAAAGACAAAATCAAACCAGAAATCCGAGCCATGTTACAGGGTACTCAAAGAAAAATAAATGTATGCAAAAGAGAGGCATTGGCGTAAACCAGGAAAATGAACTAAAGAAGTGAAAGGGGTTTCCTAAAGAAATAAATTTTAAAAACTGAGCAAAACTAATATTTAGGCCTATAATCCAAGAAAACTTCCCAAGGATAAAAGACCAGAATCGGTCGTAAGTTACTGGGAAATTTGATCTGCTAAGATCAACTCCAGAATGTAGCGTAGTAAAACTATCATACTTTTAAAATAACGAAAAAATGCCCGGTGCCTGCGGTTAGAAAAGATGAAAAGCTTACAAAGGCAATCGAAATACATTGGCATCAGCCTTCCCAAAAACAACATACAGCTCGAGGCAATACTAAAACAGCATTTTAAAGGAACCAACAGAGAAAGTGTGAACCAAGAAGACTGTGTACAGTCAAACTGATGTTCAGCTCCCAAGGGCACCGTAAACAAATTTGGTCTGTGCCAGGGCCCAAGGATTAGTGTGCACCTGTGTTATCCTGAGGAACCTGGGAGAGGATGAGTCTCCTCCAACTAAAAAATTACTGGATCCTGTTTGCAAAGTTTACAAATAACACATCTTCTGTTTAATTGTAGAGCTGAGATTAAAATGAGAGTGAGTTCATGTAAAAGCATAATGTGTAATTGTATTTTGATAAAAATATCAAAGAGATGCAATTATTTTAAAAAGAAAAGGAGAAAATAGAATATGATCATTCTATTGAATAAATAAAGGCCAGCGTTCAAGGAATATCATCTAAGTAATAACACTAAGGGAACTTAAAGAATTAAAATGTAAAAACATGAGTCTGAAGGAGAATACTAGTTTTGATTTCTTTTTCCAGCAATACCTCCTTTTTCCACACGAGGCCCTCCTGTCTTTATCTCTCTGAAACGATCACTTTCTGGTAGGAAGGAAGGTCAACCTGCGTGGAGAAGTCACCTAAGACGCCCACATCAGAATGCAGCAGGGGCTGAGATGAGGGAGGGGGAGAGCAGAGGGAACTTACAGGAGGCACAGGGAATTGATGGAAGGGTTAGGTGTAGTTGATGATGGACTTGGGAGTCGAACCATCTAGGTTTATACCTTAGTCCTTCTGCCTGTTCGTTTTTCACTCCCGGCAAATCACTTTACCTTTCTAAGCCCATTTCCACATCCAGAAAACGGGTTTGGTTGGATCCTTCCTATTCTAAATACATTGTAAGTATTAAATCATGCATATAATACATAGCAAGCCCCCCACATATAATAATAACTCTTACAGATATTATTATAAATAACTGTAATACAGAATAAAAAGTAATAAGTGCTCCCAAAAGTGTTAGAAATGATTTATTGTAACCTTTGGCATGGAGGTGGAAAAACTAATATGCCTAGGGGCATCAGGGGACTTTTTAATAGGTAAGGTGGCTTATGAGCTTGGAAGAACATTTCAGGCTGTGTAAACAGCATGAAAATCATGGAATGAAAAGAAAATCCTTGTCTCTAGAGCAAAAAATGGGCCTTTCTTTGGAATAGTATCTTAACTATTATTAATATATTTTATCTTCATCTCAAAAAATTAGTGTTTTATCATTATGACCAGCAACCATTATGATTATTAAAAGGCCTAGGGCAGCATGGAGTACAAAATAGGAACGTGGACAGAAGAAGGTGATGGGAAATTACACTGGGGTGAGTGTGTTGGGGCTCAAAGACTG